TGGTATAAACGAAAAAAGCTAAACTACAAAAAAAAAAACAAAAAACAACAACCAGCCTTCCAAAACTGCAGCTTACCCAAATGTCAAAGGACGTTCAAGTTATTAATCAATGTCGCATTGCGTCTTCTTTCTTGCTTGATTGCTTGATAGCACAGTATGTACTTGCACTGTTGTTGCCGCAGGTTCTCCACTGCCGAACGAGCATATCGATCGCTCAATTAATTTTCAGCGCATATCAATTGATAGTGACAAGAAGAAGGAAAACAAATATTTATAACAAATAATGTAAAGACAAGAGAATAAGGAATTGGTAATAAACGAACAGAAATTGAGTAGAAAGCAAAACAAAAAAAAACAGAGGGAAGCCTTATTTTGAAAGTTAAAAATAGTTGTCAAGATATACACGCCCATACATATTTATATGTTTATTTACAAATTTATGTGTGGGATTTGCGAAGGGTTGACTACTGGTGTGATTTGAATGTGTGCGTAGAGGTAGAAAGTTTTTTTGAAATGTCGCAAAAAAAGGAATAAAGTCTTATAACTAAAGCAAGAAAGAACTGCTGTACTCGGTCATGCCTTTATGCCTTTCATGATTCTTCATTTTAGGATTAAATACTAGTTTTCATATCTGGAAAATCGCTAGGATGGGAATATATCTTATATGCCTGTTTATTTGATTCTTGGCCCAGCACCTCATATCTGAACAAATCATTTATTTGGGAGCTATATGAAATAGATCTGAGATGTGAGTTATTTTCATTTCGAGCTTATCTGCGTCTTGGATGTCACGCCACAGATTAACGACGGCAGATAATGCGCTCATCATAAGGTTCATTCAATCTTGCAGCGCTGTCTTGTTGGTCTCCAAAAGTTCTCCAATTCAGGCACGAAAAAATCATTAATCATGGCTTTATAACGTTCCCCAATGACTGTAGCATTATGGCCGAGATAATTTTTAAGAAATATGGACCAATGATTCCCTCTCCAAAAAGATCACAACAAATTGTAAATTTTTGTGGATACAAGGGCGTCTCTAAACGGCATGTGGATTTTCATCACTATGAATGCAACAAAAAACATCCGGTCTTAATTGTTGCACGAGTTGGATTCTGTAAGCCCACAAACCAAGATCATTCCGCAATATCTTCCATAAAATGAATTACTGCAAGTACAATTACTGCGTGCGATGGCGGATGGACTCTTTCGGACCTTTTTAGATCATTTTCATCACTGCACCAATAGCGTCTTCTACTAGAGTAAACGTAATCCGAGACCGATGAAAAGCATTCCAGACATATCTTCCGTCGATCATAACATGAACGACCGATGATGGAATTTATGTCTCAGCTCATCCTACAATATTTGGTAAACGCCTTCATTTTTTCCACCAATGGGGGGGTGGGTGTACAATTCACACTGAGCCGCCTACGAACGTTATTCTATTGCTATTCTATGAGGCGCACTTATTTGATGTAAGAAATACCATCGGAGGAGTTGTCATTCCCTGCCGATAGGGACCAGAATTAGAAAAATTAATTTCCTATAATTTTTGATCGGACCAGGACTCGTAGCCGCCCTCAATGAATAAAAAGGTTGAGCTCATTTAAAGGTATATTGTTGAAGGGGACAAAATTTTTCGAGTGTTGGTTACATCGTCTGTCTCTTTCGCCGATGCGTGGACCTAAATCAGTGATAAGTTAGGGAGGATTAAGGGAAATTTGCTCTCCTGTAAAATAATTGTGGCGTTCCTGCCCACACCTATTTTCTTAATATCTTTCTCATGACATGACATGCCATGTTTATTATTTTGTGCAAATACATAGAGTTATAGCAATTATTCAATGAAAATGCAAAATGAATGAATGAATTTATTAACTATAACTACTTTATCTCTCAACAACACACCACAGTTTTAGTTTTGGCGACCTTTGTGCTAATTCGTGATCCTGAAAGCATTTCCATAAATCGTACACACGTCTCTCTCCCTCCCTTTCTCCTCTTTTCTCCCTCTCCTTCCCTCTCTCTCTCTCTCTCTTTATCTCTTTCTCTCTCTCTCTCTCTCTCTCTCTCTTTCTCACTCTCTGCCTCTCATCCGATTCTCCTTTTTTGCTCTCTCTTTCTCTCTTTGCATGCCTTTTTCCCTCTTTTCTCCCCCTTTCTCTGAAAGCTTAGAGGAGTGTATATAAGTGCGAAATGCGGATGCATAAATTTTTTGAATGAATGTTTAAATAAAAACAGAGGCGTCAAGTCTGTCAGACGAAAATCGTAAATAAAATTTATATGCAAATGTATGTACAGGTATATATAAGAACTCCCACTTCCTGTTTATGAAAAACGTTATGCAAATTTTGGTTTTCCTGAAAATCTTCTTAGACATTTGGCATGATTAATTTGTGGTCATTTTCCCTTTGTATCACCGCAAAAACTCTAACGCTAGAAACCATTGGCCAAACGAAAATCATCCTAAGATATAAAGAGTAAAAAATGACGTAAGGGTGAGAATGCAAAGAGGAGAAAAATTCCTACATTTAAATGCCTAAAGTAAATATTTTATGGCCACTTATGTCATGGATACATGCTGATATGTACATACATACATACATATGTATTTAATGCCAAGTTAAGAAAATAATACATTTTTTTTTTTTTTAGTTCAGTTTTTGCAGTTATTAGTATTTCCGTTATTTTAGCCTAACAACTTGCGACGGCCTACTTAGGTATGTGCATATATGAGTATATACATATATGGGAATACATTTGTTGAACTATGTATGTATGTGTGTGAGTAGGGATATCTATGTGTGTTAATTTTTTTTATGAAAGTTCATTTATGTCATTTCTTTAAGTATTGATTTGTTGTTTTTATGCAAAATACATACATATATTTACACACAAGACTGGAATGATAAATGGAATAAAGTGGGATGGACACTGGAGATTTAAAGAAACACAAATTGATGGTTACTGATTGATAAGAAAAAGGTAGGCTCTTGTAGGAAAATGGTTGCCATAAAAGTCCATAATAGAATAAAAGCTTTTTATTTTATTAATGATTTTTGCTAGCCTACAAATACACATATATAAATACACACTATATATAATAAATATGTGCAAAAAGCTGCAAAAAATATTATAATTTATCCACTACATTTTCTACTGATTAATGTTAATTAAAGCCTGAAAAGCTTTAAATTTTGTAGCATTAGAAATTCCTTCAGTGGGAATAGCTCGCAAATTATTATAAAAGATTAAGTACAAAGGGAAAAAGATTACTACATATTTAATACAGAATAATTTTTCCTATAATTCCTAGTAACGAACTTCCGGAAGAGTGTGTGTCTCGGATAAAACCTCGAGCACATAAGCTCTAACTAGCACCGGCAACGCCTTACTTTAATTAACTGCTGTGCGGACATCTGTTGGTAAACTTAACAAAAAAAAATTAATAAATAGAATCAGGAGATCTTCATACGGAATGAAAACCTTGAAAAGCTGCTTCTATTTTACCAATGTTTGGACTAGATATGCAATAGAAAATATAAATACAGCATTTAGCAAACTTAAAATTAGTTTACTAAAACCAAGTATGATGGTTTTACATTGAGTAAAAACTTAAATTTAATCGAAACACAGTTTTAAGAAATTTTTTCGGAATGGGAACTCATAATGATTGATTTCAGATTGGAATTTACAAAAAAGTCGATATGATATATGTATTTATACATTTTCGAAAGTTATATATACCGAGTAATTGAAAAAATTAATCTTGTGTAAGCTTATTTAGAAACGTTTTTTTCTCGCAATCGGTGAACTCGATTTTTCAAGCGTGAATCAACCGGTTGGTTTCAATTTTTACGTAATCTTATATGTATATATATTGTTGCGAAAATGCGAGGCGAATGTCAGATGAAAGAGAGAAGCCGATAACTAGTACATTCTAGAAACGATAAAACAAGAACCTTCCATAGCGAACAATTCGATGCTTCTACGCTTTCGTCTGCGAGCAGCCGCCTGTTATATAAAGGCGACACTCAGCTGCAAGTCAAGTTAGTTACAAGGTGAACTGGTTGGCGTGAACATCAGTAAAGTCGGAAAGTAAACGCGTTGGGAATTACATTTAAGTAGAGTAAATTGTGAAAGTTGATGATAGTGATTGTAAATAGTAAAGTGCCTTGTAATTGAATTGTGAATCACTGAGTAAATAAAGGACATTAGATAGAATCTTTATAACGAAAGAAACTGCAAATTAAGTTTGGCGAGTTTTATTTAACAATCCAGAGATCGCACCCGAAGGATTTAGGAAATCATCGAGGTTGATTTATTAAAATCGTAACAATATATTTATTTAAAGTATTGGAAAATTTTCATTATTATTTTTTTTGAAGAGTTGTTGGGAAAATTTCAGTCCAAAAACTTCTTTTTAATCAACACCATTTGTCAAAAGTATTACTATTGCTAGTTCGAGGAGTCAGCGTATGTAAAAAGGCAAATTTAAGTGAAATTGTATTGCTTTGTACAAGCAAAAAGATTCATTAAAGCCAAAGCTGTTATTTAAAAAAGAGCAGCTACTATAGAACCACAGCCAATAATGGCCATCTGGATTTATTATAATCATTTTGTAATCCTCCTACCCTCTGTCTAACTCGACCTTTTGATGAGAACGGTTCCTTCCATTGCGTGGCTAACAAAAAAGTTAAATTAAACCTCTTTCATGTAGCATACCGAGTATAAAACGAAATGAATTTTTATTTTCTATTAATTCGGATCTGGCAATACTATGTTTTTTAAGACCCTTGGTGTTTTTGGCGACGTCTAATGGCGAAGTTTATTCTTAGGCTGCCACCTACCCAGTCATAAACTGATATTTCGTTCATTTTCAATAGTTGGTGTATCATAAAGGGGATAATGTAAGTTTTGAAATGACTTAATTTGTTTATTGCATAAGACTGCTGCTTTAAGTTAAATTTATTTGACATAAAAATTTTCAAATTATATCTCACAAAACACTTCCACCAAGAATGCAGTTCGGAATAAAACATCTGGCAGCTCTGCGTTGCATCGAGTCAACCTAAATTTGTGTTCAGTTTTCAGTGCATTTTATAAAAACTGTGAATCTTACAAATAATTTGTTTTGAAAGCGTATTGAAATGGTGTAAAAAGGAAGATACGAAGTTGCATTTGTGCTGTATAAAGATTCAGATGCCTTCCAGTGAACCACAATTAATAAAAATGGATAGCGGTGTGTATATAAATGCTTGTATATTTGTGGTTTTCGTGTCCAATTGGCAATTGCAGCAAGGAATTTGTTGAGTTATTTGGGTTGACAATGATTTTGTATATTGAATACACCCATTTGGTATTATTTGTTTAAAAACGGGATGCTGAGTGTAAATTAAAACGTTATTTGTATAGCATGGAAAATTAATATTCCGCTAAGAATATTCCGATATCTTAAGAGATACTTAACCTCAATTTGTGTGAAATCGCAGCTCCAATCTAGTCCAAACTTAATTTTTTCTTTATTAACGCCGCTAATAATTCTAGAAAATGGCTAGTTGTTCTGAAAGCATTCATTATCCTTTTAATAATATTAACTTTTATTTACAGAAATTGCATGCAGTGAAGTTAGCAAGGAGGGGCCAGCATTGCCACAGGTCGAAGCTGCTGAGAGCGGCGCACAAGAATTACAGGAAATACGCAAATTATTATGGGGACCGACCATACGTGTGGATGTGTTTCGCCGTTGGTCCCAAGGTTAGTTGGTAAATCTAAAATAAAACAGAATGACTCAGTATCATTATGAAGGTGTGGTTATCTAAAAATAAATATTTTTATTTTACTCTTTTTATAGGCTTCGAATTTAGTGATACAGAACCATCTGCCTTGGTGCAAAAAGAGGGTGGACCATGTGCTGTGATAGCGCCCGTGCAGGCTTACCTTTTAAAAATTCTCATTATGGATACGCCGGGACATTTTCTTAAAAACGTAAGCATCAAATGATAAGGTCTAAATAATAAAATTAGAAAATAATATATGTATTTTGTAGCTCACACAAGATAAGTGTCGTCACATGCTAATACAGGCGTTATGCACTATTCTAAGTAAATGTTGTACAAAACGTTATCGAATAGTCTCGCTGCCAATGGAAACATGCGCCGAAGCCAAAGAAGTCTTAAACACTCTAAATGACATTCCAGCTGTAAACATCGGTAGTGATGCTTCAGCAGAGACGGCGACTAAAGAAGCAGACGCTGCTGCCGATTTGCCTTCAACGGCAGGTACGGTACGTGTGGCAGATGCACGTGAAGTCTCTTCGGATGCATATCATGAGGGTCTGCAAGTTTTAAATTTTGAGACTATTGAAGAAGTAGAAAAATATTATACAGAACACTGGCAAGTGCTCTCCGGTCAATATGGCGTAATGCTCTTCCTCTATACCGTGCTGATCACGAAGGTTAGATGGCGCAAGCAAAAAAAAATATTCTAATTAATATTTAACAAATCTGTAATTTTCAATTGCTTTATTACAGAATATTGATAATGTGATTTCGGAATTATCTGATACATCTGAACCACTGATACATAATACATATGGATATGGTTCACAAGCACTCATTAATCTAATGTTGACAGGTCGTGCTGTCGCTCATGTATGGGACAATGATCAGGATGTTGGGGGTTTGAAATTGCGTGGAATTAATGAACAAAGCGATATTGGATTTATAACATTGATGGAGCAAATGCGTTACTGTACAGTGGGTTCATTTTATAAGAATCCCAAAAATCCGGTTTGGGTTATGGGCTCGGAAACGCATTTAACTGGTAAATAGAATTTGTGTACATATGTGTTTTTACACATTTTTGTAACGAAATTTTGCGCTCTCTAGTGCTTTTTAGTGCCGAAAAGAGATTGGTATCTCCGGAGACTCCTTCGGAGTTGGCCCGTCGCGTTTTCAAGTCGTATGATCCTGAGGGTAATAATTTTATACCGGCAGATGTTTTGCAAGACGTTTTAGCAGCTTTGGATTTGGTCAACGAACCGGAATAGTAAGTGATTCAATGAAAAAAAGAAATTTAGAAAAACTTAATATTTTATTTTATTCTAATTAATTCTTATTTCAGCGTCGAAATCATGCAGAAACGTCTAGATCCGGAAGGTCTGCACATTATACTCTTAAATGCATTTATGGACGAGTTCTTCCCACAAGAACAGCGATCAACACCAGATACATTTGATCTAATGCACTACAACGGTATACCAGGTTCGAATGAGGGTAATAAGGTATGTAAATTTTCAAGCTATTTTATCTATACAAATGTATTTATGGTAATCCTATTTTCAGGTACACTATTCTAAAGGTTCTGCCATATTATTGGAGAGTGATTTAAAATCGGTGTGTATCTCCAATCCCATGTTAACGTGTTTACAAACAAAGTGGCCAAATATTGAAATTAATTGGCATGATATGCGGATACCATCGTTGAATTGACGATACACAATGCTTTTGGATAACGACATATGCAATAAGGCATAAGAGAAAATATACTACACACAAATTCGAATTGTTAATTTAAAGCAATTTTTTTTATTAATATTATTATTATTATTATTATTTATGCCATTAAAACGACACGCACTACGCAAAGTGAAGCAATTCAGAGCAATAGTAGAGCAACAGATGATATGACACTAAACATGAAGTTTACAACAGCAGAACAAATTAATATTTTCGTTTAAATCCAACTGTGTAATTGATTTTAAGATATTTTGTTACATTCACATCTTTTTAACCGACGTTTTATCTTTAAATCCTATTAACTTTACTACTAAACTTAAACTAGACAGAAAATATGTAGTTACAAGAGAAAACGTGAAAATATATTATTGTTTAAATACACACAGAAGTACATACATAAATATGTACTTGCAATAGATTAGCAACAATTTACGAACACACCGTTCTTGCATTACAAAAAAAAAAAGAAGAAAATTATATATTAAAACAAAAATTTAAAAATTATACATGCAGTTATATCTATTTAAAAACAAACAATAAACAAAATTAAAAAAAAATGTTAAAAAGAAGAAAAAACAATACAACAAAATAATAGCTAATATAATTAACTAAAGTTTTATTCGATTAACTTCTAATACTAACTGTAGTTTATTAAAAATATAAATTTAACTAGCAAACACAACAAAAGCAACTGCTTAAAATACGCATATTAGCGTTTCATGTTGAAATAGACAAAAAAAATAAGAAGAAAATCTTACAAGAGTACACAAGTGCAAACATTGAAGGCAATAGAAGTTTAAAAAAAAATTATTTAAATACTATATTTGAGCAAAAAAGTACCGAAATATTAGTTTATAACTACTAAATGAATTTAAAAAAATCATAAAAATTAAATATTTTATAGACACGAAAAAAAAAATTAATCCAACATGCCATATTTTCAAAAAATATTTAATGACCAAAATTACATTTATACACACACGGTAGTATTATTAATTATATAATTGCTGATGTTCCTTGACTTCCTTTATTTGATTTTTTCTACCCCTAGTACTTTATTATTCGGTTAAATTGTTAAAATAAAATACTAAATTGAAAATTAGCTTTTCACTCAAAGAAATTCCTTTTATGGCCTTTTAAATGCAGTTACTTGCATTTGTAATTATAACAAATAAAATCTTGGTATACCATTTAATAATGTTTAATCTAAAAGAAAAAAGTAAATTGTAAAAAATATATATTTCAAATTCCATGGTATTCAAGAATAAAAAATTAATTATTCAAGAATAAAAAAAATTACGGCATAAAGGGTTGCAAGGAAGACTTGAAAAAATATCAATCTAATTGAAAAAAAAAATGAAATTTAAAACAAGCATGTTGTGCATATTATCTAAGTCTTATTTAAATACATGAAAAGTAATATATAGAAATAATAAAACACATACACGTACACTTATTTTGTAGTTTCTTCATTTACAGGAGGTGAAATTGTAAGTGGTGGAAGTGCGAAAATGGGTATTGAGTTTTATTTTAATATCAATTGGTATACTTTTAAATGTGCGCTTGTGCCAGTAGCCTTTCGAAAGCAATGTTACTTTATAAAGTTGTTGTAAGCGCAAACTTTTAAAAAAAACTGGCAGCTCTGTAGAGTCGAGTTTTTTACATTTGAATTTGAAAACTCATTATTAAACCTAACCTTAAAACAACGTTCCAGAATTGAAGAGTTTCCATTACTTGATTTGTATGAAATTCTTCACATCCATTTGCTCGCGTAGCTGAAAAGCAGAAGAATGCATTTGCAGAAGCTTTTTTCCAGTTCAATTGTTTGTTTATTATATTCTATTTTGGTATTAATTTTTTAATTTAATTTTTGCTTTTTTATGTTTTTAAATATTCCAATAAATTTGCCATTTTATTTCATTTACTTTTTTGTGTGCGATCACATTTTGCGTAAATATTAGCATAGTTTTAGGCGCACCTAATTGGCATTTATTAAATTTGAGCACACACAAACCTAGTAGGAACGGCCCGACGAAAACTTATAAATTTTTTCTTTCTTTTCTCAGTCACATTTTAGAAGTGCAAGTTGTGTTGTTGTTTTTGTTGTAACCGTAAAAACATTCGTCAAAGCAGCTTTTGGGAAATTTCGTGGGAGTGACAGTCCTTGGCCAGATAAAAATCCGGGTCGTTCTGGTATAAAGACGCGACTGTTGCGGTTGTCGTGGCGCACATAATCTGTAAATGTCCGCCTTTGGGAAGACAAAGGCTATGTATACTTGGTTCAGAAAGACTACAGGATTTTCAATCGGCAATAGTCAAGGGGCCAGAACGACTACTTAAGCTCGTGAAAATAACAGCAATGTTCTTCACAGAGGAGGCAAATTAGGTGTGTCGCAGCACAGCTTGGTCGTATGTAGTGTACCTAACTCGAGCTTAACCTAACCTTATCTACCTTCGATAGCAAGAAAATACGCTGACGTCACGCCCGAATTGGTGTATCCGAAAAACTTTTAAGTTTATGCAAACCGACGCTAAAGCACACTACCAGCTTCGTCTGAATAGGGAAATACCCTTCTTCCAGAGAAAGTTTTTCCTAATTTATTGCTGGGGAAAATCACATGAGCTTCACAGCTAAACAGTTGGCGTCCGCACACAACAAAAACAGCACCGTTAGTTCCGTTTTTTTTTTTCAGACTGAATAAGGAAAAGAATAAAATGGAGCAAAAGGCGAAATATCTTCCGCCGTCACAGTCGGTCCCTTGGAGGTCACTGTTGACAAACATAACTTTGAGGTTGAAGAAGATTTCGTCTAACTATGAACCGACAAAAACACCAACAACAGTATCAGGCGTTACTTTAACAATTGAAAAGCTCAGTCCTCTCTCTGCGAACAGAAACAAAATAGCTCTTCATTCCCGTACAGAAGCTCAGTTGATAACCATATCTGATGAGTCGGTACTAGCAGTCTTCGAGAGTAAGGTTAAGCGTTGGTAATGGCGAATAACGCAGACAAGGGAACGATGACGAGATATACGACATCAATGACATATAGGTGTACATACAATTTGCGCCTCGTAGCTGCTGAAACGATTTTCCTGCAATTTGTGGTAAGCGCCTCGATGATTTTTCAACAAATGGAGGTACCTACTATTTCTACTAAGCCGCCACCGAACGTCTGGTGGTTTTTTATGAGCTCTTTTATGAGTTCTTTATTTCATGTAAGAAATATACTCGGAGGGGTTGACATTCCCTACCGAGGTGCACTTCTAATACCGGTGCGGCCTTGTCAGTTGGCACCAACCTTTTTTTGACTACTCAATTATTTGTTTTACTCAATTTTCGTTGTGTAGCCATCGACATATGAGATGAGGGAAGCTCTTATAAAGTCGTGACCTTTAATGAAGTGGGCGAATGGGACAAAGTTCAGCTCAACTGTAAGTAGCTATTGAAGGGAATGAAATAGCAGGTAAACATGCGAGAGAAATGGCCACAATCTCGACTACGAGACCAGAGTTCTTCTTCCCTTTAGCTCCTCACAAAATCAAAGAAGTGCTACGGAATGAAGAAATGAGAATACACAAAAACAGGTACTGGAATAATACACACGGGATGAGACCATCAAAAAAGCTCATGCACGCGTGCAATACCAGAAGATTTAGAGACATAATATTACATAGTAAGATTAACTTAATAAAAAAACAGGATATTGTAGATTGTGTAAGCATTCGTATAGACTCACGATCAGCTGTGATGGGGTTCGCCCCTACTGTAAGCTCTTACCAGCGACAAAAGTGGGCATATTCTTTAAATGCGAAGCTAGCGCTGGAAGAAGACTGAGATATCTAGGAGCAAAATTACAACAAACCTTTTAGACTGCTAGATTTTACGAAGGTGTTGGGACTGTTTGAAACAATGTGAAAGGATCGGAGGGCCTAATAGATCACTGGTCACGGTACATATCCATCCACTCATCTATCTACCGACATATCTATTTAACCTTCTATCACTTATTTGAGGGAAAAAATCAAACTGAAAAATTCCTTCATATGTACATTTGTATGTATGTGTATGTGAAGAAAAGGAATGCATTTTGTTATTAATTTCCACGCGTATTAGCAGCTCAAATTTTGTTATTCAAGGAATTGCATAAATTAAATGCGCAATAATTTCTGACATTTGTCATATATCAGTTGATTTTCAAAAACATTGATGCCAATACATACATATGTACATACGTACATTTGTACATACATATATAGTGTACGAGATGCTACAAATGACCATGACGCAAAACGTTGATATCCAATGTTTTTTGCTTTTCTTAGCTGATCGACGCCACCCACACTTACAAATGTATGTATGTGTGTATGGATAAATGTAAGTGAGTAGCGATGTGAATGTGTAATCTGTTAGAAGATGTGTATGTGTAGAAAACACCTGAATCTAGTACAATACACAGTGGAGTTTCGCTAATTCCCCTTCATCCTCCGAGCCGTTCGGTACCAAACCAGGTTTCAGACAAGGTGACTCTTGAATTAATGCTAGAGGAAATAAGACGAGCAGCAGAGCTAAACAGGGAAGACACAATCTTATATGAGGTGCGGCATATACCGATGATATTGATATTATCATATTCAAGGACAGCGTTGTTGGTCTTATTTTGTTCCGACTGGACACAGAAGAGAAACGAGTGGGTCTGGTAGCGAACGAGTGCTCGAGAAATAACTAGCATCAGCTCAAAAAAAGATATCAGCCTCAGCAAGCCGCATAGTAACTCAGAGTAACCGAGTAAGTCCTTTCTCGACGAACGAAAACCAAACTCTAGAAGTCGCTCATCATTCCCGTCCTACAATTTGGTACAGAAGCGTAGACGAAGTTGACATACGATGAGGCGTCCTTGGGAGTCTTCGAGAGAAAAGTTTTGCCAACGATTATCGCATTGGCAACAGCGTATACCGCAGATTTTGGAACTATAAGCTGTACGAGTTATACGATGACATTGATAAAGTTCAGCGAATGAAGAGACAACCATGTGGTCCGCATAGATGAGAATAATCCAGCTTTGAAAGTTTTCAATTAAGTACCCGCTGGTGGAATCAGAGCCAGAGGAATCCCTCTACGCCGTTGTAAGGATCAGGTGGAAAGCGAGCTGGTTACTCTTACGAAGAAGTAGGTAATAGAAAAATAAAGTACTCACGATCTGATGATTGCTTTATCGGCCATTAAGAGAGCGGTTTAATCAACTGTTTTTTTTTTTTGGACCTTACGCAATGGCTGATGGGTTAGTGTTGACGCAGTATTCGAAGGTGGAATCAAAGAAACGAAAAAGGGAAGACATCCGCTCTGCTGAGTTGGAGGCGCAACTGTATTTACTTGCCCAACAGCCGTCGAATTCTAAGAAAAGAAACCAATGACGCGCAGTTCTTAACTCGGCTGTAAACGCTTGCAAATAAGAAGAAGAAGAAGTTGAGATATTACTTATTATAGCAAACGAAAAGAAATTTCCAATGTTTCCTTTTTTAAATCTTTGTTTTGGTAAGCGAAACTCTACTGTACATCAAAGATTTTCCTCATACACCTACACACCGACACCGACACATGTGTATGTGTGCTGCACCGTGACGAATAAGAATTTGTTGCACTGCTGAAGCTGTTTCCAATATTTCCTGCCAGCAGACGAGCTTTGGCACAAAAAATGCTTGTTGCTCTTAGCAGCTTCTGCATCTGCCTTAGCGTTCTCCCCACACTTTGAATGCAACGCTTGAATGGAATTGTGTTGTCAGCGTTGATTTT